ATATATTTAAATAAATAATACATTTTATATGTAAAACTATAAGTAATAATTATAAATGAAATAAATGAATTAAAGGAAATAATAACGTAAATACCAGATTTTCATGTATATTAGATATTACAGCTCGGCTAAGGGGAGGTGTTAAGAGTGGTCACGTGATAAGGGTTCAGCCTCGCGCGATGCCCATAGCATCGCACATTCCCGGCTTATTAGCCTTATTGTTAGTTCGGCCAAGATAGTTTAATGTAATTGCTATTTCGTCAGCCTTGCCTCCCTTCACACCCAACATGTCTCAATGCCGTATGAAATAACAAAGGGTATCTATCATGCTATAATCCTAGCGACTTCCAACCAAATTCAGCTCCTTATGGAGCACTTGGGCTTAGCTACTGCCCTTTCATTCCCTAAAGGCCCTTGCAGGAGGATTCAGAGAACATTGAGGAGGTACATATAGAGCAGGGTGGGCCGCTCTTTTCTTCTCTCTAGTCCGTCTCTATCTAACCACAGACCATACATGCCCACCTACCTCGAAGGATTAATTACCCAATCTTTTCATTAAAGTGTCTTTCTCTTCGACCTTGTTTGTGAAGTTGTTTGCGGCTGGCCTGTCTCCGCTAAGTCGGAGATGCCTTGGGCATGCACTAAGGCGACTTTTGAGTCTCTGTAACAGGTCCCTAATTATTAATGGCATTCTCTCCAAGGTACTAATCATTCTAGTAAAAAAGTCCCAATAAACGGTACCTAGTGCTGCCGTGATTTTCAGAAATAAAGTATAGATTCTGAAGCATCTGAAGCCGTGGGTCGAAAAACAGCCATTTAGGAATGGTTCCCTGGAGCCCAAATCCTCGAACTCGACGTATTTCCAGACCCTAAGGTGCGATGGGAACTTCCTCCCGATGAATGAATCAGTCAAAATGCTACGAAGGCATTACGAAGTTTGGAAGACGATTTGAAGGCACGTCTCTCGGCCTGCCACCCATATAGCTGGAGAATCTAATAGTACGTTCAGGAGGAGTTTAATTGTTTCCTCGTTGCCTTTATTGCAAACAATATAGGCGCTGCACTGGCGAAGCAGGTTATTCATTGAATGTGTAGTTAAAAGGTGTTTGAGGTTCTGACGACTTCCCAGATCATGCCAAACTCATTTGATCGCGACGGCCTCCATATATTAGCCCACAGGACAGTAGCAATGGCACGTTAACCCCTATAGATAGCCCTTGTCCTCTTCTTCCATACAAAAACTGGTTACTAACTTGAGTATTATGCAGATCTTCGTTGGATATGCCAAGTTAAGTGAGATGAGAAATAGCTATTGCTACTAAGATCTAATCGCATAGAGTTTACTGTATTATGAGAAGTCGCTTGGTCCTTAAACTGTTTCGCCCCTTCGCGACGTACTGCCTCAAGCACTCTCTGTAGTGGATAGTAAGTTTGCTGCCATTGAGAGTAGATATTGTCCGACATATGTAAGCGTCCATTCCCACCCCCTTCCCTCAAAGCGAACTTTTTCATAAAAAGGTTCGAGAATATGGATTAACAGTCACATAGGTGTCTAGTTTCTCATTGAAATTCGAGAGTACTGAGACGAATTGCCGAAATGACTTCGCAGCTTCGGATTTTCGCACCCCTCGGAGAGGACATCGACTCCAACGCGTGGGTACTGGAAGACCTTGTTTTTAGGCAGTGGCAACAAGGAGACTCGCGTCATGTTCTGTTTATTCACGGCAAATCAGGCTGGGGAACATCTTCGGCATACTCCATACCCACTCTCGCCGAGACTCAAAATCGGGAGCGAGAAAACCCTGAAAGAGAGTTATATTCGATGTACGACTTCAACCGTTACGATGCCTATCTCGACTTGGAGCAGAGTTTTTTCGCGTCGCTACTTTACCAATATTTTGTTCTTAGGCCGCTATTGTTCAAATATACTAGGACAAAGTGTCAATTGATCTCGGACCTCCACACGCAGGCAGTCTCCTCTAACCAACTGTGGTCACTCCTCTGCCGGCTCCTATCCGCGGCCGATGACCAGCGAGTTTGCTTAGTTATTGTTGCGATGGACCATTCTCAGATGGACTTAAAGACTCGGAATATCGCCATATACAAGAAGCTTCTTCAGCTATTCGATGACTACATACTTTCCAGCAAATTGAGGATTTTGGCAACAGCACGTACTCCTTTGGGGACGGAGTTTCCCGAATCTCTGCATATAACCCTCAATAGCGGAGAATCTGTATCAGCTACCGAGATGCACGAGCTCTTGCAGAGCAATCCCAAAAATTTTGATATGATCAAGGAAGCACTCAACTGGGCCGTTCATGCAACTCGGCCGCTGACCTTGTCTGAGTTGTCAGTGGCGATAGCACTGTCCCGTGTCCAAAAAGAGAGTGGGACAAGCGGACCAGATTCACAGACGGACAATTACATGATGGAATTGCTTGAAGAATACATGTCTTTTGATCTTCAAAAGGACCTGCAATTCATCATTGGTAAGGCTATCAAAGTGGCCGGCTCCAAGGGCAATGTCCACATCATGCAGGACTCCTTTAGGAAGTGCTTTGAGAGCTTCGAGGGTCAATATATCCCTAGATTCCACGAACTAATTACTCAAAGATGTCTTTCCTACATGTGTGGAGTTCTGAAACATGGAGAGAGATCAAGTAACTCCCAAAACAGGTCTCGTGCTCTAGCATTTCTTGACTATGCAAAACTGAACTGGAGCATTACAAGCTGGTAACTCGCTCTGATCCTGCGTGGAATTTTGCTGCAGAATTTATCCTGGGAGAATGCGGGCGGCCCTGGTACGAGATTCTCGCGCCAAATGACGACGAGATACTGGATGACATTGACAGGGGATCGTTGGTGATGGCGGCGGAGCGAAAATTCACCCATTTACTCAGGACTTTAAAATCCTTGGGTAAATTCTCCCGTGTTGCTTTCGACAAAAGTTTAGAGCTGAAGGCTCCTCTACAAGCACTAATATGGCACGATGATTTCGACATGTTGGGAGAAATCTTGGTTACGCTGTGGCCCGTTCCCTCTTTTCTATCGCGTTGGGCCGGCCTGGCTGCAGAGTACGGTCGTACTGAACTCGCATTGTCCATGCCTTCTGGTTTGGGTGAAGCTAAGATAACAACGCCAGTCGAGACAGTAGGCTCATTGTGCTTAATTGCAGCCAAGAACGGCCATTTGGGGACCCTTGAATCACTTCTCAACCATATTCCATCGTGTCAAGCTCATCTACAGACAGACGATTTGGCCCGCACCGTAGTCCACTGGGCAGCGGCATGGGGCGATACGGATTGCCTGTCGAGGCTGCACAAACGTGAACTAGTCCTCTCCCCTGTATCCCCTGACACATCTTCACGGTTTTTGACAGTGTTACATTTGGCTGCAGCATCAGGGTCTGTACAAGCCACCGAGTTCCTATTAGGATTCGAAAAGGGTTTGGTCGACATGAGGGATGGTGAAAACTTCACCGCTCTGCAAGGAGCCGCAAAGGAAGACCATGAAGCCGTCGTGAAGGTTCTCGTACAAGCTGGCGCAGACGTGTGGGCTAGTACCAGCGATGCCGAACATCCCAGGTGTAGCCTTGAGCTAGCAGCCAGGGTTGGACGCTTGCCACTATTCTCTCTGCTTCTGGGAGAGATGGAGAAAGGTCTGCGGCAAGACTATGCAATGGCCAGTGCAAATCCGACGCCAAGTCTGGTGACTTTGATCAGGACCGCCAAGCAAGTCTCAAAGCGCATCTGTTGGACAGCTTCAAAGAAGCATTACGCGCCGGACACGGCCATTTAGTCGCTCCATCTACAGCCGAGGTGGTGAAGACATACGCATCCTAGACACTGACACCTTGAAGCGGTTCGTAACGTATAATTCCCATTGCCACACTGCCCGGGCACTCGCCGAGGGAATGGGGCAAATCCCGACTGCGGTGGCTCACAGCTTGCTAAGAATTGGTACAGTTGCAAGGAGAGTGAGCATGGTCAAATGCGTCCTCTTTGCTTCTGAGGAGACAATCACTGCTTTCAGAACCGGGGAGGCGAGTCTAAGGTGCTACATTGGACGGTCGTATGTAGCAATCTGCCGGTGATGCGGCTGCTGCTGCGGGAATTGCTGAATAATACAAAACATACATTGCTATAATCTTTGGACGAAACGGCCTCCAGGCGATAAATATTGCTATAAAGACTGGCAATGTGGCTGTTGTTGAAGAACTAGTGGGCCAAATGAGGGATAGCCTACGGATACCAGAGACTATGTTCCATGCAAAGTGGCCAGAGCAGGTTCCTATCGTGAAGCTTCTCTTGGAAAACGGGTGGGAGACTAGCGCGTCGAATCATACCGGCAAGACCTTGCTTCACATGGCTGCAAGCACTGGACAAATAGAGATCAAACTATTGTTAGAAAAGAACAAGAACCTCCTCAATAAGTTCGATGATGACGGTCACACCCCACTTCCTCTTGCAAAGGCGAACAATTACCGGGACATTGAGGAGATCCTCGTCGACAGAGGTGCACATTCAATGGCGATCTTTGAGGTGTTTTGCCAGGAAATAAGGCCACCACATTGAAGAGACTGGTCAAATAGACAGCCACCTCAGTACTCACTATCGCAACTGATGGACAGCCCGAGAGCTTGAAAGGTACGCGGAGACCAAAATCTCATGTAACCAGTTTCGTTGCCGTCGGCCTCGTGGAAGAATATGTCTCGTTGATACTTGGCTTGGCTGGAATTCTGACAGTGCCTTCTTCGGCGGTGGATTGGACTATGTGCCATATGGTATGGATTGGGACGTAAAGGGGATGAGTAAGGAGAAAGTTACGGGATGTGGTGTTGATTTCCGTAACAATATGGCATTCTTTACCATAGATGGAAAAAGTGAAATACGAGGATTTGTTAGCGGGTATACTTTAGGAAGGACCAGTTTTGGCATGCTATACGGAGAAGAAGGATGCCTGTTAGTGGTTAGTTGATGCTTTTGTTACAAGTTCGCAATATAGTTTGCTTATCATGTTTCGAATCTGGTTCCCCTGGCTATTGACAGATGCACAGGTGAATGCCACGTACTTCTCAAAGCCAACCAAGTCAAGCGTGGAGATAGATGGGGTTGGATTGAGTTTGGTGCTATGAGCTGCTGTGTGATTCAAATATTGACTACTCCATGGGCAGAAAGACTGTTCAGATTTAAAAGTATTTGCTATCGCCGCAATATAAACCTACGTTCAAGCAAGTAGGAACGCGACACGCGGCTGAGGCGGACGGTCGAACAGATACGGTTCCAAATGCCAGCGTAGAGTAAAATTTCACGTACCTACTTTTAATATCTGTCCTTGGTAATACCCAATACTCTGGAACCAATATTACAGCCATAAGACTCACTGTTCAATCATATCTCAAAAGAGGAGAAGGGGGGGATGAGAATGTGACGGCTCAATGTAAGATGACGGCACAGCTTATAATCACACGCAACACGCTTCCGGTACGGCGTTGCCCAACTGTGCTGTTGTTCCGCTGATCAAGTATTTGGGGGTGGCTTACTCCGTATTAGTGCCCAGCCGTTCTCGTGGCGATCGCAACCCGTTGTGGCGATCTTGTCTTATTTCGTTGCCCTTTCAGAGCTGGCGGTTCATTTTTGTCCCGAGGGTTAATCATGGCGGTCAACGCTGTGCTGGAGCTGCGAGAAGGTTGCATTTTCTCAGTACCATGACCGCTTTTATCAATTTAAAACGAATACGACACCGTGTGCGAGCAAAACTTACGGCATAGGTGTCGGCAATGGGGGGTAAAGAGAACTTGGCATTTGTTCTAGACATGTCCTTTGTCAATTGTAGGTCAACATCGCCGCGCAAAATTTATCATGACCTACAGGTACGGGGCGATGAAAATACGCTTCACGCTGACGGATTTCCCACGGTCTCCTTTGTTAATCATATAGCCGCCATGTTTTTTCACTTGACATGCCCTCCCCGATGGGGAATCGAGGCTCCGAAAAGACATGTAGACTCAACTCTTGTGGCTGAATACGCCAGTATGGCATATTACTCTGTATTTCCTGAGTTTTCATTTGTCTTGGGAAAAGGTGGTGGTATTGTATAATGATTGGAAACTCTCACCCCGTAAGACGGCCGAGAACAAGTGTCTCGGCCACGGGCCTTTAACTGAGAATGTGTTTCTCCCACAGCCTTCTGAGTGGTCATGTGCTGCATCATCGTATATGTAGTCCTATACGACGTGAAAACTGTGACTTCGTATTCTTGGCGAGAATACGCGTTTGATTAGTGGTGTCTAACCGTCAAAAACTATAAAAAGCCCCGTTCCCTCTTACATTATGGATTTAACAGAAGCTACCAAGCCCTTCCAACTATACTAGTATTTACCCCTACATATAAACTCTACCAACACATTATATTGCCCTCAATCATGAAGCCCTTCACCTTGACCCTTCTTAGCCTTGTCGCAGCGGCGTCGGCGGAGGACTATGAGTACTGGTCGGGTAACGGCTGTACTGGAAGCGTCGTCGGGCAAGGTACTCTAGCTTGCGGAGCCAATCAACTTCCGGTTTCGCCTGCTATCCACGGCATTAAGCTTATATATGCGAATGGATTCCGCACCCGGTTCTATGATAGTAGAGACTGCACTGGCAACCCTTGGTTCACGGATGACGGGAATGGCGGCTGTGTGACGGATTCCAGAGCCAGAACCAATTGCATCTACGTTCCTTGCTAGGTTCATTTACAAAAGGTACGTAATTCAGCCACCCAACTCAAAACACTAGTAACCTTTTCTCACCATCGAATAGACTCCTCAATGATGTAATGTCTGGGACCGTGAAACCTAGGAGAGTCGGCAAGGTTCTAACAGCCGAGTTCAAGAACCAAACAGGGCCGGTCTAGATGTTACATAGGAGACTCGTACTCCCTAGAGCTAATCAGATTGTCTTGGTCATTTAAATGATCTGTAAAAAACCGAAACAGTGCAAGTTATGCCAATAAGTCCAGCAATGCGGCTGATGTGGTAACTTTACAGCGGTTCGACCTAACTCTGATTGATCCGGAGAATAAATACCAATCTCTCATTCCTCGTGGATGACTCGTAGTACGTCTGGTGCCCCTTGGACACTTCGATCAGCAAGAAGAAATTCCACAAATGCAAAAAAAATAGCAGTCAAGAATTTTTTTTTCACCATTGTTCTCTACCAAGACCTCGACTAAAATAATAATTACTTTGATACAGCACTCTAACATACAAGTTTCGTTTCAGATGTTGCAATCTTGTTCAGCTTGATATCATCCGTACCCTGATAAACTATTCTTTTGGAGCACTTCCACAACAACCCGATGCGTAAAATTACAGGGGCGATTCCGACAGATCAAAGGGATTGCCATCCCGTCAAATACCAAATTTGTAGCCTCTGTATAGTCCTGCCAGTCGAATGAACGGCTGCCCCTTTCTGGAAGCAGATTCTTGCTTTCGCAAACTATTTCGATTTTTTGGCCTCCGATTCGGATATCTTCCCCTTTTCCGTTGCTTTGTTCGGGCTGGGGGAGGAGAAATATGCGTAGGCAGCCCCTAAGAAGAGTATGGTACCGCCGATTGGGACCCTAGAATACCATGTAAGCGCTTCGTTCCTACGGTTTCCCCGAGCGATGCAGGTTATCAGCAAGAAACGAACCAATTCCGACGAAGAGTTTCTGCAATATTGGATTCAGAAGGCGGAAGGTCTTGACCACTGACGTCGTCTTCGTACGTCTGCCGGCGAGCTGTTCCGGAGAAGCCGCGTGGCGCCGCGATGGCCGCCGGGCGGATGTGGTTCCGTACGAGACGGACGGAGGCTCTGGGAATGATCATCATGGTGATATTGATGGGGAACCGTGACTATTTGATGGAAGCTGACGGAAGTTGTGTGCTTTGTGGGAGAGGTATGTTCGCTGGTTGTACATGAGCCGGGACGACACCTTGGAAGACCAGCGATGGCCAGAGACATGTGACCACTATATACTTGAGTGCCAGAGGCGTCACACCACATAGTGTCGGTATACAAGCTGTGACGCCACTGCTCCCTTTCCGGCCTCTGGCATTCTGGTGCAGATGCTGCTTCAATGTTGGGTGGCGAATTTGGTGGCTCTCGAGAGTGTCGTCATGGGCTTGGGTTCTGGATGCGGGGACGAGGAGGACACACCTGTTGCATCCATCGTCGACAAATTTGAGGGCCTCTGATCGAGCAGGTCGACCGACTGCGCCTCCAGATCATATCAAGTTACCATCCGAGGTTTCGGTATTCCCAAGCTCAATATACTTGAAGATTTCAAATATCTAACCTCTTCACCAGAGCTAACTTATACTGGCTGAGAAACGTCTTTTGCTCAAGCTGTTTGTGGTCCCCTAATTAGTAGGTTGTACCCGATATCACTCAGGTAGATAACATCTCACAGTCCATCCCATTAGACATTTTGAAGCCAAATAACGAGTCCATTTATTGTATAGAGTGTTTGTAATAACTTAATAAGATTCTAAAACTAAAGAATAAAAGAATAAACTTGATAAAAAATAAAGTGTTTGTAACAGAAAAAACAAGCCAAAACTTCAGAGATTCCAGGCTTTTTCTTTAGAAACATTTTTGGCTCTAGCGAGGTGTACAACGCCATGTAGTTATCTGTATTCGTATTATTCTCATGAAATGAGGCGCTTCGCAATCCCCATGCAAACACTACACTCTGGCAAACATCTTCCTGTTCATCATCAAGCGAACTGCCAAAATTAAACCCGCACTTGCAAGTGTCAAGGACCCAGCGTAAAAGAACGTGGGCCGAAACGCGGCGAGTCCAGCCTCTGCGCCACCATAAGCATCCAACAAGTAGCCAGCGATAGGCGATCCCTAAGCAGCCATTATCAGCTCAACTCTTATATAAAGTATACATGGAGCGTTCACTTGGAATCTTACCATAAAGTACCCAAAAGTCCATGAAGTTGTCAGCATAGACATGACGTTTGCAAGTTGGCTGTCTCCAAAAACCGCTCCGACAACCACAGGCATTAGACTGAAGAAGCCACCAGAACCGATTCCATTCAAGACGGCAAAAAAGACCAGAAGCCCCAGTGAAGACGCAAATGGCCAGAGTGCCATAGCGCTAACACCAATGACAGTGAGCGAGAGGAGCAGGCTGTTTACAGGACCGAGATAAGCGTCTGCCCCAAAGCCCATGCCAATACGGCCCAGGGCAGAGGCAATGTTCCAGCATGCAACAACGGCAGCGGCGGCCTGGCCAGAAAATCCGATATTCGCAACGTAAAGTGGGAGTAGGAAGGGGGGCACAAACAGAGGAAACGTGGCAATTGCTCCCATGACGAGCATCATGTTGAACTTGACGCTACGGAAAAGACGCCTGTATCCCGGGTCAGTACCATATACCCCCAAGCCATATATATATATATATATATTCTTTGGCCCAGTGAACCTACCATTGGACGCTTGAAACAGCGCGTCCGCGTCCAGCAGGCGCTTTCAGGAAGTACGACGCCGTGATGCAAATTGCCCACGCAAGAGCTCCAAGAATCTTCAAAGCCGACTCGAGCCCCACGACTCCAATCAGCTTTTCCATGGATATGGAGATGACGGCAGATCCAATGCCAGCACCGCCAAAGACAACACCGGTCGCCAGGCCTCGCTTCCTCTTGAACCACAACGATGGCACTGTGGCCGCAGGCTACGAGCAAAGTTAGTCCATTAGAGCCGCATGGAGGCGAAACGGGAGAATACCGTTGACCCCTTACCAAGAATAACATGGAGCATCCTATGCCAAACAAGAACCCCTGGGTGACAAACATGGCGGGCACAGACTTGGTGGACCAGCCTGCGGTGAATTCGCCAAGTCCCAGGAATAGGCTTCCGATGAGGGCAGTGACCCTGTAACCTACAAGCCTGATGATTCGCGCTACAATCATGCCAAGAAGCGGCGACATGGCTGCCCCAACGGAACCGATAAAGGACAATGTCGAGATGCTGGCAAGGCGCGACTCGGTGAGGTGAAGCTGCACAATGCCGTAGGAATAAATCAAGCCAAGGAAGACGAAGAAAATGGCTGATCCGGCTGCCACCACCACCCAGCCTTCTTTGGTATCCCAGTTGGTTTCATTATCGCTCAACCGCACGGGGGTTGTGTCGTGTTCGTTGTGATCCTCCAGCCTTGCAAGTCGAATGTCGTCATCGCCCGTCAGCTCCGACAGCGCCATCGGCTGCATGGTTGTGATTGTACTTGACATTCTTTTCTACTGTTCGTTTCGATACTGAAGTTGGATGTTATTCAATGTTTCGGAATAAAACAGAAAATAGCTAGAGTTTCTCGGTGGCTGAACCCTGATATCTTCGCCATGACTCACGATTGACTCGCGCCCTACGGTGGACACTAGTGTTACAAGAGGGCGTATTCACCAGACCAACAACTTACCATAAGCCAAGATAGCAAGACCCAGGTATCTTTTATTTTGCGCAAATTTATACAGTCGTGTTCTGTGTGTCTACGGGTCAGTTCTGCGGTCGACATTAATAAAGAAAAATGCCACTGCCAGCCACCAGCGCAACATACCCGACCGACCCAGAGGACCATCCGTGACGACGCAATTCAGACAGCCTCGTTCGTCTTCGAGTCCATGCCGGACTGTTACAACTTGTCAGTGAAGCTGTCAATTACTCCCGTTGCTTATCCCTAAAAAAACCTCCCAAACTCCCCATCAACCCCCCCAACATATTCGACGAAACCTTCCCATCACCACCACTACCACGCGCCTCCATCCCGCTTCGAATCCATCCTGGCAATTTGCCCTGGATTCGTTCGGTAGCATACCTCCTATCGGCAAGTACAATAGCCGCATAGTCGCCTTTGTGACGAATCGCGCGGCCAATACTCTGGTTGACGGCCCGCATACAAGCGTTTTCGTAGAAGTCTCTCGCGGCCTGCTTAGCTCGTGCCGCAGCTTCATCCTTGGTCAACTTTGAGCCAGCGACATTCACGCTGTCTTGCAGGTTTTCCAACGTGGTCGATTCAATATATTCCATCCTGGCTTTCCACTCCGGCGATGCAATATTTGGATATGGCAGACCGACGACCATGACGCATCGGCCCAAGCGATCTGAGAAGTTGATGCCCTCGGACATTTTCCCTCCCACAACACTGAGGAGGAGTGCACCGCCTTTGCCTTTCACCATACCTGTGGTGCGTCCCCCATTTCCGAGGATCGCTTGTGTATACTCTTGGAGGACCTCGTCGCTGGAGCAGCCTTTTGTTTCGCGAAAAACCATTTTTCGAGTTTGCAAGCGGTCCCAAATGGTTGTTTGGGGGTTCTTGTCTCCTAAGGCTCGTCGACTCCACACTGCGACGACTTCTTCAAGATATCCGTAGCTTGGGAAGAAGACTACGACGCCATCGGGGACTAATGAGCAAATATTCAGTATTGCCAAGCCCAGCTCCTTTACCATTTCCTGGTCCCCTCGACGCTGGTAGCTAAATTCAAAGCTTGAGCCACCTGGACGAGTCCCCGTCAACGTACAGACACACAGATTTTCGCGTGGTATTACATGTCCGCAGCTCAAGGTGGTTACTTTGGCATCAGCTAGAGCCGGGAAAAGATGGTTCTTGTAGTCGTCGAAAGGCGACATGGTTCCTCCTGCCAGTATGACCGCGCGCGCGCTAGACACTATGGATGAGAATGCATGCGTTGGAGACAGCAACAGGTAAGAAAGCTGAACGTCTTGGACTGGCCCACTGGTCTTCTGGTAGAATATCCGGCCCTCAGTGCTCGGGTTTGTAAGGGCTGCAAGGAACGAGACCAGAGTGTGCAGCACTGGTGTACTCGACTTCGTCGCCGGCTTGCCGGAGCTGTTTTCACTTTCGACATGTGCTGCGTAGCTCTCAATCTTGTATGCCAGCTTGGACTCTTGGATGTACTGGATGAGCTCAAACATGTTGATCTGGTCGATGCCTTTCGGTCGAGTCAAGTCGTTTGCGTCCACGATTCCATGTTGTTGCTGTTTTGGAATTAGCTGCCACATCTGCCATGGTACGCGAGAGAACGTACCTTGAAGCCTTTTGCCCCATTCATCCACTCGGTCAAGCCATCAATAACTCGCCCAACTCTTCCTACATTGACACGGTTGACACCTTTGAGCTTCTTCCCAAACCGCTTCACATAAACTCCTAGCATCCCTCTCCCTTTTTGAAGGTCACTGAGTTTGATCTCTGCAGCATGCACATTAGCAACGGCATCCATCACGTTGTGTGCCTCATCAATGATGACAACATTCCCCTCCAACTTGATCCCCAGCGCCTCTCGGGCGCTTCTTTGAAGCAGTAGGGGATATGGCAGAGTGATGATTTCCGCACCAGGTAGTGCCGACCGAGATGCATAGTATGGACACACGGCCAAAGACTTGCCAAGCTGATGCAAATCTTCAATGTCGGGGACAGTGGCTAAAGCCGAGTCGCGAAATTGATGTGTCTGGCTTAGAAGCTCCTCTTTTGGAACATATGAGCATTTCTTCGTCGACTTTGACTGCTGGAGCTCAGCACAGCGATCATTGATGGCCTGCACTGATCCGAGTCGCGCGACGGATGGATTGATGCACAACCTTTGTCGAGAAGAGAGCGGAAGTAGTTTGACCGTCTCTTGGACAGACGATTTTTCCTCTGCGAGAGAAGTCGGCAGTGACGAAGGGAATTTAGGGCGGCGCAGCTCCGTAATAAACTGCGACAGTTGCGAGTGGGTTCTAGATGTATAATAGATCTACAGACGGTCACTAGGGGCATCTTCAAAGCGGCTGTTTGGAAAAGCACTCCTCGCACCTTGATCTCTTCTTCTAGGATATCATTGTCCTCTTCTTTCTTTCGAGGACCACCAAGGCCGATGCGCTCTAATACCTCACGCGATTCTTTACTTAACCCGGACAGGGCATCTTGGACACCTGTGTCACGGTCCTCCCAGTCATCTAGTAGCCATTCGGCCTCATCAGCATCCATGTCATTGAAATCACCAGACGCGATTGGTTCCTCAAGGCGGCGGCGCTTGCGGCCCCGGTCTTCAAGTGCTTTTTCCTTTAACCTGATAGCTTCGAGGCGCTTCTCGCGATCTTCCCACCTTTGAACCAGCTCCTCACGTTTTCGCCGTAGAAGTTGATCGACGAGCCACGCCGGTTCGTCTTTATAAGCGTCTCCGGCATTTTGCATCGATACCTCAAGCTTGTTGGACTTGAAGTTTCGAAGCCAGGTAAGTGAGGCACAGATTAATGAAAGCGATTTACCCTTCTAAAGCGTGAGTGGCTAAGCGTTTCATGGTCATGAGAGAGCCCATGTAAAAGCAATTCCAACCATTGATGGGAATGTGCCACTTACAGTGCCGGTTGGGCTTTCCAAGATACCAACTTGGCCTTCACCCTTATCCAAAATGTCATACACAGTTCTCATGAACTGTTCTTGGACGGCGTAGGGAGTGTATGGATGGTGGAAATCCAGCTTCTCCAGATGGCGCGTAGCATCATCTACACTGGAGGTGGCGACAGAAGCCATGACAGCTCATCTCTTCAGTCTCGGTCAGGGAGGGCTTCATAGTGTTGTCATCATCTACACTCGATGGCCATGGGGACGGCGGCAACGCGTCTTTGGATGGACAGCCCTGTTCTTGGTCATCAGTGGGGCCAGCTTCGAATCGTCTCCACGGTGAGACCACGAAGTCACCTGATATGAAAGAGACCCACTTCGTGGACCGACCAGTGACCAGCAAGTCCACACCGCGCCACACAAATAATGTTAGGGCTAAAATGCCCTCTCGCTAACAATTTTCTGGGTCCCGTGCAGCCAGCAACCCGAGTAGGCGCAAAATCATCACCACCCACTTCCAGTCTTCGACGACAAACCATCGGAAAGCGACAACACCACAACCGTCGCCATGCCTACCCGAACTTCGAAGACCCGCAAGCTGTACGTGAATACACTCTTCCTATGAGAAATATTTCGATCCGGAGAGAATTGGAAGCCTTGACAATCGTCACTGGGCGCCAGTGTCGTTTGTTGACTGAAAATCTCCTTGGCGGAACGTGGATAGAGATGGATCAGGGGCAATCAGTGTACTAACACAGCTTTTTCTTCACAGTCGCGGCCACGTCTCTCACGGCCACGGTCGTATTGGCAAGCACCGCAAGCACCCCGGTGGTCGTGGTCTGGCTGGTGGTCAGCACCACCACCGTACCAACATGGACAAGGTTCGACAACCTCGAGATGCCCGACCCGATGAGCGAGAGCAAGCGGCGATTGCTAACTCACTTTGACAGTACCATCCCGGTTACTTCGGTAAGGTTGGCATGCGATACTTCCACAAGCAGCAGAACCACTTCTGGAAGCCCGTCATCAACCTGGACAAGGTACATATAACTCCTCCCGCTTGACGCGATGCAATTTGGTCATTGGCCGACGTCGATGCCGGGGACGAGCGTCCCAGCTGGCATTGAAGGGAATCGAATGACACAGCGACCGACAATGCCAAGCATGATCGCAATCGACAGTCAGCTCAAAGACAAATTTGTGCCTCGCGGTATGCCCATTTCTTGAGCCTCAGAAAGTGCTAACAAACTCGCAGCTGTGGACTCTCGTCCCCACTGAGACCCGCGATGCCTACGTCTCCGGCGCCAAGAAGGACACCGTCCCCGTCCTCGACCTCCTCCCTCTCGGCTACTCCAAGGTCCTCGGCAAGGGCCGTCTCCCCGAGATTCCTCTGGTTGTCCGCGCAAGATGGGTCAGCAAGCTGGCTGAGAAGAAGATCAACGAGGCCGGTGGTGTTGTCGAGCTGGTCGCTTAAATGTCCGCAACGAAACAAATAGAAAAGAAAATACAACCAAGATTTCTCCTTTCTATTTTTTTGTTTCCACGTTTTCTAAAAAGCATTTTTCATGCTCCGTGCTTTTTACGAAAAATGGTAATGGGAGTCTGGGGGGCCAACGGGAAACCGGTTTTATAGCAAGAAACAACATCTTGTTTTTTGGCGAATGGGATGTTGAACGACGCCAGTTATGAAAGCTGTATGCCGGGAGCTGAAGAAAATTCGGGAATCGGTGACCCAGGGTCGGGTCGGTTTCGATCGCATTGCATCAGGGGACTCTTGACGTGGAGTTTTGACGAATAAAATTCGATTTTGCGCCCATGTATAATGGAACTCTTGGCGTACTTTTTGTGATACGATCTCTGGGCAGTTCTGAC